ACAACAGAGAAATATATCTTAATTTATATGTACAAACGTAAAGTCGATAACACATCAACCTGGTTCAAATTTAAAAATAAATAATACCAACACGAGACAAATTTATTTCGAATCGTTTTGATTTTGTGCAGCTTAAAAATGTATATCAAATTTGATTTATACAGTTCATGTAGAACTTCCGATCAAGAACATATGTTACGCGTGTTGTGAAAAAGTGTTTACCGAAAAGTAAAAAAAAAAAAAAGAAAAGAACTTCGCACTAAGAGCAATAGATTTTTCTCTCCGAAAATATGAACTTTATCACCAAAAGATCAACAATAAATTCATCATAGAAAAAAAATTTCAATTCGTTATCAACACTGACCCTACCATCGTAAAAATAATAATTATTCGGCAGGTCTAATGACCGTTTCGTATTCATTTTAAAAATTTCATCTTAAAAACAGAGCTGTACATATATTATTATGGATATACACATTATGATATTATAATCATCATCCGCAGGTGTTACGATAAAATTATTTATGATACTGTCACAGACGTAGAAACATACGTGGCGATGTTCACCCGTTCTACACGCTGCGTATGTGCTATTATGATAAATATATATTATGTTTGTGTTTGTCTTAAACGTATTTTATTATCGCTTAACGACGAGTAGACACGTCTTGTGATCGTGTAAGTGAATAATATTTGTATCGTTTTTGGTAGGGACATGTAATGGGTGGCGGGATGACACTCGCCATGTCGTCTATAGGAAAAACATTCGGTGGATTATCGCGTTACGTGCGCTTAAAAAACACACATGCACACATAAACATGAGCTGTATGGTAATAATTATTATTGCATATTAAAACACAACGATAATATTACGTAGTATTATGTACGAAAACATGGTATAGAAGTGTTATTATGAATTTTCCTTATTATAATACCAGCTGCAAGCCATATATATATATATATATACAATACGACGTCGTGTACTCATGTGTTACATACGAAAAGAGTTTTATAATTATTTAAGACATTATACACTTTTCTTAATAAAATTTTGTATTTTTTGAAAAATTTTCGATTATTTTAATTACAAGTACTTTTATTTTAATTAATTTTACATTTTTGTTCACGCGTTGTTGTTTGGTAAAAATTTTAATTTTAATATTACAACCATATATATTACATTTTAATATCGAAAATTATTCCTGCAATAATCAATAGTTTATTTATGTGGTTTAAAGTGAATATAAGAATTATCATGAATACGCAATACGGTTTACTAAAGATTCACTAAATTAAATTTAGATTTATTGATTAACCATTGCGTAATAAACATTACTTTGAACCGATACGGTGATAGCCTCGATTTACAAAGATATTATACACTTGATTGTTTATATAAATATACTTAATACTATTAATTTATTTATTTATTGATGATTCAGTAGATTGTAAACAATTTTGTCATTAAATTGAATTGGACTTAAGTCTAATATTTCGATAACTGATTATACTTTGATATAACTTGTACAATGATAACACTTGTCACGGTAAAAATAGCTTTAAGTTTAACTTACCAAGGACATAAATAATAATATCATAAAATATAAGCTGTCATACTGATTATGTTGATTATTTCGTTGTCTTTGCAAATTGTTATTCGTACACAATGATTTATAATTAATTAGCACAACCTTTATGGCAGCTGACTTATTCAATGACGGAGTACAGCGCTTGAGATCGTGGTAATAGAGCGAATTTTCTGATTTTTTACATTTTATTGTCATTAAAATACTTTTACAAATATACTATCTAGGTTAGAGAAGTTGATTATTTTTCTTTTACCTCAATTAAGTTAATAAGATTTAATTATAAATGTTAATTTAATTTTTCATTAATTTAGTTAAATTAAAAGCTAATACGTACGCATTTTTAAACTGATATTAAGTTATTTATTAATTTTTTTGGTATCCTATCTTGTTTTATTGTTTTACCAATACAAATTATACAGTGATTATATACTATTTCTGCATAGAACTTTAAAGTTTTTTATCATTAAAAAAAGAAAACGTTTCACACTAAATAAAACCAAAAAATATTCTTATGAAACGAAATCGAATGTAACATAATATAATTAATTTGAAATAAATGAACTTAAATAAAAATTGAAGAAGTTGATTTTACCTTACTTAAAAAAAAAAAAAAAAAAAAAAATTACGTTAGGTTAGTCGATGTTCAAAGTTAACTAGGTAGTTAAGGTAAAAAAAAAAATATAGTAAAATTAACTTATTAACTTAACTTTAACTTTTTAATTCGTTATTATGCACAGCCTTGTAAATCACAGTACCTACATATAGCGAGATGTTCGGAATAATAATTTTTACATGTATAACTAATGTATAATAATAATATGAACATTATTCCGATTTATTTTTTTCCGTGGGTAAGAGGGTAAACGGAATTTCCCGTAATCGATGTATAACATTAATAAGTAGTCTTGCGTACAGCAAAAAAAAAAAAAAAAATCGGTGCATATAAATGCAGGAAACAAGTAGACCGGAGGTGTCAGCCGGTCCGATGCATCGAAGGTGGGGAATTCAATGGCCCGTACAGCACGGCGCAATAACACAAATGCGCGTTTTATCGTCGAGCAACGACGGCGAACTGAGTTACACGCCCGACCCGTCTACCGCGTAACCGTTTCGACGGTCGTGGTATTTTTTATTTTTATTTTTATTTTTTTTTTTAATCAAACATTCCGACCACCCACGGCGGACTTGGTAATGTGGGGGGTAAAAAAAAATTGCCAAACATCATCGATCAGTGGCACACCCATACACATACACACGTACTCACATTTATGGAGGTAAATATCGTTGCAGTGATTATAACATTATACGGTGGAATATAGTTATTAGACCGCATGTATGTAATTCTGATGAAAATTTAGCCGTTCGTGCATCCTGCGACCAACTATTACCCATACCTATTATGGGGGGGTGAATATTCATTCATAATTATGATGAACAATACTGAGGCTTGTGTGCGGATTTTTTCAGCTGGCCTATATTTTTTTTTTACTCAGTTGTAATGTAACTATGGATTTTTATGTAATTTTAATTAATCGAATAATTACAAATACCTACACATATTTTAATACATTCATTTATTGTTGTACCTACACTCCTTATACCCCTTACCGATGATATATTCAAGTCATGTACATTGTATATCAACCAATAAGTTAGGTATAGGCTATCTAAATACAACCTCGAAATATTTTTAAAAATGTTCGTTTTAGATATATTGAAATTAAAAAAAAAAAAAATATTTGATTAATAATACTAGCAAAAAAATAGCGGTCTCTTATTTGAAAAAAAAAAAATTGAATAACTTATTATTTCAATACATTTCTAATGAAAAACAAAATTAATATCAGTTTTACAAAGTAAAATTTATGAGCAGTTTACTCTTCTAGAAAATTACCACGAAGATCAAATTAAAATTTTATATATTAATATAATCATTGTGAAACCTGTAATTTTTCTATTAAAAATAAAAGTTTTGGTTTCAGTTGACTTTAAATTTTAAAAATATTGAAAATTTTGATTTCTCTTGAAAATGTAACAGTAGTTTATCCTAAAATCGGGGTTTTTCAGTTTATTGATTTATTCCCAAAAATTGTCTAACACAAATATTCCCAAATGTTTATGGGACAACACATTTTGAAAATCATTTAAATTTTAGTGACCTTCAATAATGTCAAATTAATGATTTTTTTTTTTTTTTTTTTAGTTATTTGAGAAAAAGTAACACATGTCTAAAAAAAATGTATTATTTAAATATATAATAACGCGACCCACTAAAAATTTAATCACATCTCATAATTTGGGAACCTCTGATCTAACATATAATACTATTATTAATTATTATAAATTCCAGGAACGGAGTGACTTACTGAAATACCGGGAAAAATCCCGGTGGCCTGGAAGCTAAATGGCCCGTTGGCCTGAAGTATAGATAGAAAAAAAATCATGAAAATAGTGTAATGTGAGGAGCTTATTTCTCTATACACGAAAACGAAATCGTTTTTTTAATTTTTAATTCTGATAATTAATGGCTATTCGATATGAATTTTCCGTAGACTGTACATACAATATACAACATATCCACATTAATATAGTACAACCATCTATTTTTATAACTTTCGCCGAAGTTCTGCAACACAATAATACCTAATCGCCTAGCGACCATTGAGTCAAATATACATTTTCCCACATTTTGTCATCAGGGTATCTATTCAACAAAATACAGTATGATGGACTACTGGAGTACCTTTATACTACATTTATATTTCAAACTTTTTAAAAAGATTTGTTTTTTAATATTATATTAATTTCAATATTAAATATGTTCCGGTTTTCCTCGAAATGAGTGATAATAGGAATAGGAAAGATGATGTTGAAAAAGAAAGAGAAAAAAATAAAAATTTATTGTGTGGAGAACAATATATGAAATTAGATTCATATTATTGTAAAAAAAATTTATCACAACTTTTAACGAATATTGAAAACATCTATGGTCATAACGATTTATCATTTAAAACCGATCATATTATTAATATAATATATTATGTAAAAACATTTTAAGATTAATAAATTTTGGTTAGGTATCTATTTTAGATTTAAAGTTTTTTTTAATAGTTTTATCAATAAATTACATAGGTACCTATGCAATGCATTTTTGTAGTTGTTATTTACTTATATACTTTTAAATATAAAATTCTTTACATACATTAATAAAATAAAATTTCTAGTCAAGAGATGAAAAAGTTGAATGGCCTGGAGGAAATTTATTTTCCTGGACTGATTTTTTTCCCATTTCGTCCCAAATGACTTCTTAATAGAAATCATATTTATTAGAATATAACATAATAACTACCTATATTATTATTTTTACGTAATGTTTGCTTACTCGCTACCTTTTTGTTTTTATTTTTCAGCCAACCTGACTAGCATTAGTCACCAACGGTTTACAAATATTACATAATTATTGTATTTCGCACACAAAATCCTCGCGGGCTGCGTTTAATTTTCGATTATTGAGTTTATTGCGAGCAATAATATTCGACGATTCGTCACATCCGTATCTTAACCTTAAGATGATGCACACCAATCGTCAATGGCCCTTCCGACAATCGAGTAGCAATGGAAATGGCATCGTTTATGGTGTCGACTATAACCAGGATGACAGTGGAGGCGTAGACGATGATGATGATGTTGCCGAGGAGTTTGGTGATTTTGGTGGCAATCAGACCGCGTCTAGCAGACGATACTTGACCGTACAGCCGAAACAGTGGTGCACGTCGTACGTGGCTGCCAATCGACAACATTACGTGAGTTTACATAATATATTGCATGCAATAATTATCATAAAAATAATTGTAGACATATGAAAAGTTGTGAAATGTACCAGAAAAATTGTTTGATATATTTATTTACAAAATGTAGGTACATTTTCGTTAAATTTGGTAAATTAACAATTTTCTTAAATTATTTATTTTTCCAGTTATTTGCAATTGGATATTAAATAAAACTTAGTTAAATTTAAACCAAGTATAAATAATAATAAAAACGATATTATTGATTACATGTATTTAATATTTTAATACACAGTGTTTATACCTTTTGTGTAAAAAGACTAAATATAGTTCATCTGTTTAGTCTTAAAAACTACTAAAATGATACCTTATTTAATATCAAATTATAATTATTACGTTTTTAAAAACATTTTAGACGCGAGGTGCCGAGGTTATTTGATTTTAATAACAGTTAACAACTAAAACCTGGCAAAAAAACCATAAAATTTACCAAGGTTCGATACGAGAACGGGCTATCTCTATAATATAAGAAACTGTTTAGGAAGAATAAAATAACACCAAGTTTTATTACAATGAACTTTGTTTACTAGACATATCCGTTTATATGATGTTAGCTTATCTAACAAACTAAGATATCCACGGTTATTCAACTGAATTTTAGACAAAAATATTCTTAATGAGAAAACGTAAAAATATAGAAATAGTTGGCTTTGTACCGGACTCTTTAACAATAATAATTTTTCTTTAACTTACAATTTATACAACTAAACGTATAATTATTGATTAGAAATATATTTTTAGTTCTTTAGTGATAATGGTTAAGGATTACATTTTGTTTAAAATAGATCATTTCTCATAACTTTTATGTAACTTAATATGTCCCTTACAACTAATAATTAATAATTATAAATACATTTGTGAATATATCAAACATTTAAAGTATGTAGAATTTTTACAGAACGTGCACGCTTATCGTAATATGATATAATTGATCGTATTTAAATACATTATATATAATACACATACAAGTATAAGTACTTAAATAAATTTATATGCTTATATGTTTAACTACACCTATTATGGTTTACATATTTTAATTCATTCTATCACATTTTGGCGTATCGTATTTAATTAAACTATTGGATTAAAACTACTTCAATTGTTTACAACTAGATGATAATATATCGTCGAACGCAGCTATTTAATCTGAAAATATGATATTACTATTATACATTGATTGTCTCGGCGCGTCACGTTTCTGCGGACATCATACAAGAAAGCGCGCGATTGTATTCGTATTTATTATTGCGCATTTTGTCACGTGTTCCGTATATGGAATCAAAAACGTTAAAATTCCGTCCTACCGCGATAGTGATGTATACATATTCATTATACACAGCGCAGTGATTATACGGAGAAAAGCAATAAAACTACAAAAAAAAAAAAAGACTAAAAATTAATTTCGTACGGCCGTTTAATTCACGCGTGTCGTCCGTTGCCTGCCCCTCGCGATACTATGACTATACGATAACGACAACGACGACGACGGTTTAATTAAAAAAAAAAAAAAAATACAACGACGACGACAATAAAAAGACCAACTATACTGCTGTTGTATACCACTGCTCTATAAACGGTATAATATAAACACTGGTACAGAGACGTCCCTCAGATGTAGATGAATGGGCGGAGGAGTGGTGCTCCGGTGGCTTGCCGAGGGTGTATTCTACAGGGTGGTCGTTTCGACTATGAATTTGGAAACTTTGTTTGCAAAACATTTGTTTTTATACAGTTATATATATATATATACAATATGGTATGAGACGTTTTATGATTTTCTTCAATATTTTATATTTATACCTACCACGCGTGTTTTGAATTTTATTGACAAATAATTTATCGCGGCGCTGGATTGGATTGTTTCGAGTGATTTATATTATTGATGACGGCCCATGTTTAAAAAAATATATTTTCGTATTGTGTAGGAATTGTTTTATACTTTTAAACGTGACGTAAGATATCTTTCAAAATGTGTTGAAATAACGAAATAACCAATGATCATTGTCGCTCGTCGCAAGTGTTTGGCTTAACTTAGAAAGGCTTTTTGAGATCTTATCGAATTCTCGAAATTCTCGAATTATGTTTTTATCTGCTAATTTCAGTGCATATACTTCGGAGTTCGGAGCAACAAACTAAAACTGATTATTATGAATGTTTATAATAATTTTATAAAATTTGTATTGGAGTCATTCCACTTAATCGCATCGTATAAATATTTATTTCCACATAAATAAAAAAACTTTAATGATCCCATTTATTTATAATGCTTATATAAATACATCAGAAAAATAAAAATTGTAGTTCTTCTCTTATATAAGTTGATTGTAATTTAAACTTTTATTGATGAGTTAAGACAGTTGAACTAAAATATATATAAACATTTACTATTATTTCTTATTATTTATAAATTGTTGAAAAAACTTGTATTTAAAAATTTTAATTTGGGCGTCTCGTGAATTTTTTAAATTGGTGTTTTAAAATATAACACACAATTTTGATAATTTTTGAAGTTATTGATGAATACGCAGGCACTCTTAAAAAATTAGTAATTTATTATCTGTCATATTGGTATATATAGATTGAGTAGTACATTTATGTATACGTACGGTTAAAAATAACAATGTAGCATTGACAAAACGATAGTGTAATGTTTCCGAAGTATGAGCTTGTATAATTATAATTATACAATATTATATAGCTTTATACCTGCGATTACGTGTTGTTCTTTCTTGGCTCAATTTTTCTTTAAATATTTTCACCGGCCTTGTAATAAAACTGTAGCCGTGATTGCCTACGCCGTCACGGCGTCACCACACTATAATATCGCAATCGTTGTGGGCAATACCCGCGTGTGAGTGCGTGTATTTTATTATTTAAAACGCTTTGAATGAAAAAAATGCAGACAAATATATAGAAATAGAGAGGTAGCGAGAGAGAGAAACACACAAAAACAGCCGAATAGAAACAGAAACAAAGAAAGAGAGATAGAGGGAGTGAAAAACAGACAGTGGGATAAACGACAATGAACGATTAATCTGAGCGTGCGTAATATGGGAAAACGGAAAAAAAAGACCAACGATCATTTTTTTGCTTGTTTTATGTTTAATCACCGCGTATTACCATTCATTTCGTGCGTACTGCGAACGTGCTATAAACGGCCTGTTAACTCAAAATATATAATATATTATATTTATACATATAGCACGTTCGGACACATGTTTGTTATATACACAACGGCCGTAAAATTACAACAATATGATATGGCTTTATTTCCGCATATTGTAGAAATGTATAATATCGTCGTTGACGATTATCACACGTCGATTTGAAATGGTGAGGGTGTATTTAGGGACATGCTGTGTGGGGGCGATTACCTCGCTTCTTTAGGCGGCAGTTTCTTATGATAAAAAAAAAAAAAAAAAAACAAGATATAATGATTAATGTGGTCCAACGATTATGTATTGAAATTGACTGTAGATTTATAGTTTAATAACTTCTAAACTTACTATTAAATATTCATGCAAGCATTACAATAATCTTGTGCATACCGTGAAATCTTTTAAATATTGTGACACAAAATTGATGAAAGTCACGATTTTTGCATAAACAGGATTTGAACAACAGTGCTGTACAGCTATACAGTAGCGTACAAGGGGTATGATCTGTCTCACTTATTGTTTTTACCTGTGACAGGTGCTTATTCCTAGTTGAATTTAAATTAATATCTATACCACATCAACCTAATCGTTCAAGGCATATTTTATGTATGATATTATAAATTATGTATAGACATACGTTAAAAAAAAAAAAAAACACACAAGGAGGCAAAGGCTCTTGATACCTAACTGCTCGTACCTTTGATTTAGTTAGGAATCTATCTTATTTATAGAAATGCTGGATCTTTGTGATATCTTTTGTGTAATTGTTCTATGCTTGTTCGTTAATAATTACCGCAAGCAGATTCAAAGGATGCATTTTAAATTAATATTTGCTTTCAAGTTAAAGAAACTATACACTTATCATTTTAATTATACCTTTATTTTTTAAATATCTTTCTGTATATTTTTTTGCTTTAAATAAATTGTATGAATTATTATTAGATTTACGTATACAAAGTTGTATTATATATATATTTAATACTTTCCTCATGATTTATTCATAACTATTATGCCACTGACATTGTATATAGCAATGGTATTTTCCATTATACATATGTACGAAAATAGTGTATATTATCTATGGTCACAGGAAGAAGCTCAAGGGGTTACAGGCCTTAGCACCTCAACATTTTTCATTTTTTCGAAATAATCTCCGACAACAAATTCATTCGACGATGTAATCGATGTTGGTATTTATCAATATGATATGTATATCGCACACTACAAAGGCGGTACAAACGCCGCTTTGTGATGCATTATTATGTAATAATAGTCCGGAATTAGTCCAACGTTGTGGAGGTGCACCAAGCAATTATAAGGGAAAAAAATTGTTGTAAATTTCCGTGATGCGTACGAAAAGTTTGTTTTTACACACTCGATGATCCCAACAACAGACAAACACAAATTAAAAATTCCTCTTCAAAAGATTCGTTCTCTGATGATTTTTTTTTTTTTTTTGTTCTGTTTTTCACTCTTGTTCTACTCTAAAAAGCAACAAGCTATTTGTATGTATGTATATATATGAATAAAAAAAAAAAAAATCTTCCGTTTGCCCTTTGAACGCGAAACGATAATAATATCGCTGCCGTCGTTTTTCATTCTCCGCTTTTATCCCCAAACACAAAGGTATATAACACACACACACATCCACACACAAACACAATATATAAGAATAAGGACTGGGTCGGGAAGGCTTATTGAATTTATTATTGCATACGACAGGGGCCCTGAGACCGCTGACTATATATAGTGAATATATGCGTTACGAGGCCAATAAATAATAATGATAATAATAAT